ATCTATGACATACGCAACTAACTCCTTGCCATTTACATAAAAAGAGCAGGTGTCTTCAAACAAATTGAGTGAGAGCCCTTCCTCGTCCTTTGGTGGCTCAGCTCGCACTGCCCGAGCCTGCGGTTGGGGACTAGCTTATCCTTTGAGATAAGATTCTCATTTGTGAAAATATTGTTATAGTATTTATTACATTTATTAGGTTTCGTGGTCTGATTAACCAAATAAATTACTTTCAATTCTTTAATTAAGTTTTGGGTTGAGATTAAAAGTCAGTGTCACGAGCGGGAAAATTTGGAAAATGCAAAAAGGTGGGAAAATTCAAAAGGTGGTGTCCGAGTGGATCGAATTCACCATAGCTCAAGGTGGTAAAGCAACGACGTATTTATCCGAAGGTCGTGGGTTCGAAACCCGCTCGTGACACTGACTTTTTATCTCAACCCAAACCTTAATTGAAGTTTAGTATTTATATTACATTCTCCCTAACCACCACTACCCTTGATGACCTTGATAAATGGCCAGATCTCTTTACAGCTTTGTTACCTGCAATAAAAGAACTTCATAGAACTGAATGCATACGTCGTATTCAATCCTCAAATAATTTCCTGTTTTTTAAAAGAACGAAATTTTGTCTGTCTTAATCTATCTGAGTTGCGTTGACTTGTAAAACTTCGTTATTCTCCATTTGAACTCTTAAGATAAGGGGGATGGATGGATGGATGGGATCTGTTTTTGTTGTTGTTCTCTTTGCAACTAGCGGTCAATTGTGACAGTTCTTCAATTCCTTGTTCAGTGTTGGATTTTAGGACAGATTGGTCCATTAAACCTCGGGTCATTCACTTTCTCAAGAGTCCAAATCATTGAGCTGTCGAATGGTCCAGATCCTCGGGCTCTCATACGGTATGCTCGCCACGCCTAGAAGTGTAGGAATGTAATCTTCATTCCATTTAGTTTTTTAGAGAGGGGGAATTTAGTTTTTAATTTCGTGTACACCTCTCCTTCATTAAATACAATCATAAAAAAGTTAATGATCTGTATGAAAAGTCATTTATTTTCTGTGTATTTATTTATATTCTTTTTATGTTATAAAATTAATGCACGTATATCCAGAGTTTTATGTTGAATTTTTAATTGCCAGTTATGCGTGATAAAATATAAAGTATTTCTATCTATCTTATATTAAAATCGATCTAATGGTTGTCAAAGTATATTTATTTGTTTTTAAGAAGCCTGAAAAAAGAATGATAATTTATTATAACGGAATGCAATTAAAACATCTTTTTTTAAAGTAATGATTGTAATTTCATAGCGTGAAGGAGTTATTTTATTTAACCCGTCCCCGAGGAATATCGAGCTCTCTAGGGTGTGTGACGTCTTGAGTGTAAAAGTAAGTTATTAGCGAGAATGAAGTAGGTAAAACCCTGAGTGAATGTGACCTTTCTATGCTTGTATCGTGTGGTCATGAATATGTATTGTGCGATTTGTGTTTATTCTATAGTTGATAACCTGAGATAAACCACTCACCTTGTCTGCATTTAGAGTAAAATTGTCTTGCAAGCATATCATTAAAAAATGTTACTTGTCTTAGGCATATATCTTTTATCCTCGTCGGTTTGTCTCGATATGATTGTACATATACCAACGAGCCGCTAATCGTTAAACTTTTGACAGTTCATCAAAGACCGATCTGCAAACATAGGTTTCATGGGCTATGCTGAATATGATCCTTCACCAAAACTCCCTCGCCTATTCCACAAACAGCAACAAGCAAGTGTATATATTGTATAAGTAATGAGTATACAGTCAGTAAATGGATAAAAATTATATTTATAAGCTGAAGTTACATTTATTCTAATCATTGCACCCCAAGAAATCTATAGTAGGGAGTCAATATTTTATTGATTTATGATATCGTTTCTTACATCTTACTTCTTAAACGATAATTGGTTATTATAATTGGCTAACTATTACGCTTATTGAACTATTATCTATCTTTTAAATTTGAAATATTGAAGATTAATGATAGTCTGTTAACATGCGCTAATCATATATCAACGTTCAAAAATTGAAATGAACAGATATCAACGTTCTTAAATTAAAATTGAGCCGATTTCAACATTCAATAATTCAAACTGATTATTTTGAGATCGTGAGATGCGGTCTGGTATGACGTAGGTTTTAGAAAAACATTTTCTTTATCGTGCCAACGTTTCGATCTTCAGGGCCCGGAATTTATAAACATCGTTTCAATTATACTACTACATGTAGGATGTGAAAAATTCAAATTGACCGGATATGAACACTGTGACGGTCAGTTTCAGCTAGACCATTGGTTTTTCTTTTTGAAACTTATAGAGAAAGACTGCCCACTAAAACTGCCTTCACATAGTGCCTAATTATATAGGCTTGTTAAAATAATGGTTAATCAAAATCAAACTAAAAGAAAAGAGAATGTATAATAAAATAAAAATTATAACAAAATTAGAAATGATTTTAAAAAAATAAAAAATGTACACTTTTGAGTAAAGAGAAAAAAAAGGTATTTATTTTCTAAAACAAAATCTTTTAAATTTCATGAAAAATTATAATTTCGGAATTACTGGCCTTGACACACACAAAAGGTTAAAATGTATCTTCCAAAACAAAAGTCACCTTGTGTAGGCTTGAATTTTCCAGGGTCCCAGTTTTGCCGTTCCAAGATGGCCGCAAAATCCCTTCTTGTTGGACAGTTGTACTTCTTATTAGCTGGACCTCTGATTGGCATATATCTCACAAACGCCTCACCACCTCGGCTGAGGAGTTTGTTTATCTTGTATCCCCTCTTTCTTCCATACCTTCGGCCCCACATCGTACCTCAGAAGATTGTTTCTTCTTCAGAAGATTCTCAAGGGCGAGACGATTCCCAATAAATGGACAACAACGCCATAGGGAAAATCCAATTTCAAAATTAGCGAAATCGTTGCAACATTCAAAAAGTGACATTAGGACATTGATCTTTATGGAGAAAACATAAAAACAAACCTAGAAGATTGACGACAGCTTTTTTTAAAAATGTGTAAAATAAGATTCATTCACAAACAAGAGGAAGGGAAATAAGAACGGCCAGTTTAGGAAGGTTCACGAAGTAAAAGGGTTTACGCCTATGAGATATTGGAAAACCATCTCGAATCCCCCAATAGCAATGGGACAGAAAAGAGCGAGATACCATGGCCCCAGAGCTAATGTACCAGCAAGGGGGAGATTTCACGGGCCGTTTTCCAAAATCGGGTGGGGGTGGGCTCGTCACATCCCCAGCGAGGAACGTGATCATAAGGCGGTCCGGGTTTTCTCCAAGGGAACAAAAAAGTTAATTATCTGTTTACACGTGTAGCACAATAACTGGTCGCCAAGTTTGATTGGGCTTTGATCGAACCGCTTTTGTGCCGCCGGTCTCCTTTGTCCGCAGGGTGGGAGTCGTATATACACTAGGGGCACGTAATGTTATCATATTAGGAGACATTTCTCAGTGAAACTGAGATGAAAGGGCTATACTAAGTGTTTCATAAAAGCACGGAGTTAAAGTTTCATATGGTACTCGGGCGCTCTCAAGGGTAAATTGTTTTAAGGAACCCACCCCCGCTCCTTTTACGTTTCCTTCCATTGTCGACCGCCTATAAGGTATTCGTATTCACTCAATATATATACCGGTTCATTTTAGATTCCCAAATTAAAAAATAAAAAACAAAGAAGGCAGATTTTTCAACGGCATTGTCTCTAATTTGGAAGCACCCATTGAAAGGGCGGGGAAAATACGAAGTAATTACAAAAAGCGGAAAAGACCACCCACATCGTCTTTTGTTACTTCTGTAGAGCCCTAATTATGATAATTTATTATCAGTTGTATTGTTTTGTCGCGTATATGTAATGCGTAAGTAAAGAAAGAGTGATTATAATGTCAAATGGAGAATGGTCTCAATGACGAAACCCATTGTTAGACGGAGCGTGAAACTTATTTTGATCCACCCGGAATGCTTTCGAGTTCCGTCAGTTTCTCTCCATCCGATGTAAACCGGTCGTATGTCCTCAGGCTACCAAAATGTCTAGGAGACGACATTCTTTCCCCCCGCCCTCTTAAACGGCAAATTATATGACTTATATATACTCATTTTCAGCCGTTTAAAATTTAATCACACCTTTTTAACGGCTACCGGATTACTGATTGGGGCCGTCATTAGTTTGTAAAAAATGCATTAAATGACAGTATAAAGGAAAAAATACGTAATTGTAAATTGAGTTAATTACACTCCTGCCAACTGGCCAACTGCAGTTGGCAGGAGTGGCCACGTGCATATCGAGTGGAAAACTTTGCGTGAATGGACGAGGAAAAACAATTTCATAAAATATCGTGTAAGACGATCATCATGATCATGTTCTGAATTGCCAATTCATTGAACATTTTTGATATAACGACATATCATTTCTGAGAATTAACAGCTGAATTCGTACGTGAAAACTCTTAAAAAATTTACGTTTTGTCCACTAATATTGTTTATAGTTCCCATTTTATATAACGAGACGTCGTATATGTAAGACTCTTCGCTATTTTTTTGAAGAATGATTTTTAAAGATCGAATCAACGCGAAAAAATTTCGACATGCTCGCTTTTACATGTTTTTTTTTTACCACATTCTATATGACGTTCATTGGAATACTGACAATATATAATTACATCCGTTGGTCTCAATCTCTCTCTTGTTGACACATATTATAAAAGCGAAACGCCACTTAGTCAGACAATTGTTGTTGACGTTGATTGACGTTATCTCTGATAAGGAAAAGGCGTGTGTGTGGCTTAAACTAATAAATTAACAAAGGAGAAGGTGCTTTGTCGGCCTCGATTGTTCCTGCTATTGTTGTTTGTGCTTTACCAACTAATTATAATGGCTCAACCTCACACGACGACCACACACCGTCTGCGTGAAGAGACCCAGCAACATTTTTCAAATTTGTCTTTTATGTTTCAGTGGTCTACCAGAAACGGTTCAGAAAGGAGCGCAAGGCCCGGAGGCGGCTCCAGGACCAGTTGGAAATCGAAATGAAGAGAAGATCTCAACTCGAGGAGGCATTGAAAGCTGCCGGAGCGCCACCGGAAGCCCTCCGAGTACTTTCAGGTAACTAAATATTCGACACAGATGGTTTTCGGCCTCCCCTTGAATTAATTGGCTCGTAATCCTTAGAGTCTCTGGGAAAGGTAACTAATTGTGAATAATCCAGAGCTAAGTGTGCATCTATTTGCACCCGGCCGAGGCGGAATATCCGTCGGCCGACTGGATCGGCACGTTTCACGTCTTAGCGAACTCCCCAGTTCTCAATTTGAAACACACCTGGAAAACCCTCAATTTACATTAAATTAACCCGGGATTTCCTCTCTGAGCGCTCCACGGGACAAAATACATTTTTTAACCCCCTTTGTCGAGGGGTTGGGGAAAAAACGCTCCTCCTACCTGAGCCGTCTAGTAAGCAACCTCTCATTACGACTTATTAAGCAGATGGGGACTGATACATAATCCATTACATTGCCCAATTTATTTATAGCGGGGGCAGGTGGGAGTGCTCCACTATTAACCGAAACTAGTACCTGGACCATTTTATTAAAAACAGTTTCCATCCAATCTAGAACAATTTCTCGATACTAGTACGAGTCCAACTTTATAATTAAACCTCTCTCACTCAAGAGAACATAAATTTATATTTACACATTTTATGATTCAATTGAACAACTACAAATTTAAAAGCAAACGGCATATGATGATGGTTGTAATTATCTCGTACAGATTTATCTCATTTAACAATCATTTAAAAAAAATGCTAATTTTTAAATTCCTCTTAATTATTCTCTATCCTCGACTCTTAAATTTCTCTTTGAACCGTGAGTAAAAATAACACAAAATTGGTGGAACATTATATTAACAATAGCAAACATTACTGACCCTTCCGACTGGCAATGCTAGGACATAAACTGATTTTAAAAAACTAGCAGGGCGTCGGTGGCCGCAAGGTTTCGTCGTTGACACGGCGCTCGTCACTGTAAGGTAAAGGTCCGGGGTTCGAATCCAGCGGCCCTGCATTCGAACCCGACATGCTTGCAAATGGGCTTTTTTTCAAAAACACCGGCACCCTGAGGGTTTATATGACCTCTGCTGTTGCGAACCCTCGATTTTTGTTTTACTTTTTTAGAAAAACCTCTATATCAATCGAAAACATAGTGAGCTACAAAATGTACGAGGCTACTTCCCGGCGGTTACTTTCTCACAATTGCGCTAAACTTAGTCATTTTAATTATAAATATACCCAAGAAATAACAGTCATATCAAAACTGCTCAAATACATCAATAAATTTTTTTTTCTTTAATTTACAACCTTTAAAATTTTATTTTTATTTTTGTTATTACATTTTTTAGATATTTACAACTGAAAATATTGTATTAAGCAAATATGTTCGTACAGCTGCATTTGTCGTTTGAAGAAGTTGCCCAGTGGCAACACAATACATAAATAAATAGACAAATAAATACATTATTTTTCTTTAAATCTTTCATAGTAAAAAAATATACTGCTATATATGACACTCAGGTTATTATTATCTGTTATTAAATCATAAATATGTATTAAGAATGAATGGATCAAGGGAGACCCGGCCTGGCATTGTCCAAACAGCGTTGAGTGAGGGAAGACATGTAAAGGCAGTGTGGCAGTAAAGGACGCAAAAAAACAAAAAAGAAACAAAAACTAAGGAGAAGACTATTAAAAGAAATTATATGTATATTTAAAGATGAAAATCGTGTGATGTAGAGTGGTATTGTTAGTAACTATAAAACAATTTAAATGTTGGAAAATAAAGGAAAAATTTTATTTATTAATCGTTTGACTTATTTATTCATGTTTCTATGTCGTTGTGATATGACCGTTATTTTTCGAGATATATTAATATTAATAGGCTTGATATTATATAATATTATGTAATTGATATTATTAGGATTGTCACAATTGTGCCAACCTAACCACCCTTGGAGTAGCATCATACATTCTGTAACTCACTATTCATTTATATTTTTTTTATTTTACGAGGGTTCGAAAAAACAGAGGTCGAATCAGCCTCGAGGAATTTGAAAAAATTCCCAAATAAGTCGAGTTCGAATGCAGGGCCGTTGGATTCGAACCGGGACTTTACAGAAATGAGCGTTGCGTCAACGCCTAAAAAATTATAAAAAAATTGGGGAAAAAAGGATAAAAATTAATAATTATTTAAGGTCGAGCCGGATTGTAAACATGATATAAAAACAATACAATCCTTTTGATCGTACAATGAACTAGAAATAACCGAACCTATTTGCGGAATCAGTCAGGAAAAATAATCAGTTTCGGATATTACCTTCAACTGTATAAAAACCACTTTACTTCTTGCTAATATACTACTAATACCAATAAGTGCCTTTCTAGATGTTAGTAAAAGGTTTAGAGAACAGACCCTCTGAACTCTGGGATGATTTCACGATAAGAATATGTTTCTGTTCAACTTGTTCACACTAGATCAAACCTTATTTAATTAAATAAAACCGTGTTACAATTTTGCATTACTTTTGAATGACCGCAATCTTTTTCTCTAACTCGAATCCTGCGCAGCTCCCTCATTCATCCAGGAACACCTCGAGCTTATCGAAGACTGGTGTAAAAAATGGAGGACAAGGCTGAACGAAGAAAAATGCACTTAGTTTACTTTTACACTGAAAAAGCTGTCTTACCCTCCATTGTACATCACCAACAAAGAGATACCAGTTTCCACTCACTATTAAAAACAACTTGATACAAGACTTGGACTACTACGAAGACTTCTAAGACCGAAATCGACTTTGACAATTAAGTCAAAGATAATACTGTACAAGACTTTACTTAGACCAATATGGAGATACGGAGTGGAACTGGGGGGTATGCCAAGCCTTCCAATATCTAGCCCATCCAGTCCTTCCAATCGAAAGTTCTTAGTCAATTGTCAAAGCACCTTATTATGTCACTAACCTCATGATCCACAAAGACCTCAACATTCCTTTTGTCAACGAACTGATCCGATTCAGATTCAAAACTTTCCATACCAACCTTTCCAACCATCCTAACCATACTGCTTGAGTCCTCTCCACTCATTCCCATCCTGACACCCGCCACATCGGCTTAACCGACGATGGCCTCGGGACCTCCTTGACAGCAAATCATACACATTGAGTGCCAGCAATGACTAGCTCCTCAAAGCATGTGTGCTACTAGTGCAGTAGTGGCATTAGTGCTAGTGTTGTGCTGTGTGATCGTAGATAGGTAAAAATAAATTTAAAAAAACAAAAGCTTTTGAATGAACATGTTGTGGTGAGGTTAGGAGAATCATTGAAAGTTGGTTGATAAAATCAAATGGCATTTAATTTTGCATTTTTATTAGATAAATTTAAAAAAAATTGATAGGTTGACTAGATGTATTAAAATATATTAAATTTTACAGTTGTCTTAAAAATGTTGATGTTGAATCAATCCAATGCAGGGCGGATGTTAATGGTGTTCTGTTTCAGAGAGCTGCGCTCAGAGCGCGAGCCAGACGACTGGAGGTAGCGGCGGCTCTGCAACGGCAGCCGGGGGCGGCAGCGGGTCAACCTCGACGGGCAACGGGGGCGGCAGCGGCGGAGGCGGCTCGCAGACGACGGAACGCGACCGCCCCGAAAGGCCGGAGGTAGCTGAACAGGCTACGCCCACAAATTACACCACACCATCGACAACACCACGCGACCCGCCCCCGCCTCAGGACAAGCCCTGGAACTATTCCAGCATAGACCTCATCAACTCCGGGGCCGCCTTCTGGCAGAACTATTCCGGTAAATACTTGGCACTCCTCAACAGTCACCATCCTTCTTTATATAGTGCACAATAAAAACATTCATTACATTATTTAAATTATTCAAACAAAAAGACTTTCTTTTCAATTTTTTATTTTTATTTTTCCTCAACTCAATTTATTTATGAGTATTATTGTAGTTAAGTAATCTGCCACTTTTGAGTATTTGTACAGCTTTTTTTAAACATTGAATTAGTAATAAACATTATTTTAAAAACCATTTCATGAGTTTACTTTTCCCTCTTTAGAAAAGTCTATAAATAAATTCTATACACTCAAGTTAATAACATGATGACTATACTGACCAGTACATAATTACTGTACTTATTATCGATACATGTACTAAAGTGGGTTCAATTGGGAATATAAGTTTTGAATTAATTGTCGTAAAATTCCACAAATTAACCCTAAGAAAAACAAATTGTCAAATTTTTAATATATGTCTACTTCCTCAAATTATGAGCTTTCTCTGTGTGGTCTACAGGAATAAACCTGTTGTTTGGTCATCACCGGTCGTTTTTTTTTCTTACCCTCGCTGTGTTGGTTGGAAACGTTTCGGTACCATCTTACACATGAGTCTTATTACAAAGACTTTATTGAAAACTTTTAGGCCAATAAAAAAAATGGTAAAAACACTAGTAATAGCCAACTGTAAGGTGAATAACTGTAGTGAGGATGTATAGGAAAATTTTGAAATTTATCGGGACAAATTATTGAAAAATTGGCTGTGGGATTGGACAGTTTTGATACATTCGTTGGAGTTTTCATGAAAGCCAGTGCGTTGTGAAACAGAGTCGATTCAAAATGTACTAAACCCGATTCCTAATCCTCTTTCGGCCCGAAATCTTGTTAGCCCGGTTTATCCCGGGATGGAAAAAAATGTGGGGATGGTCGACAACACCCCGCTGCCCGTTTCACCCCGTTGATTCGATTTCCCCGGTCAAGCTGTGGTGTTGTGAACCGTGCCACCAATCTAAAAGGCAAATTGTCGGACGGAGGGTGCATCAGGGCGCATTTATAGATATTGCCGTCTACCCTCTCGGCCGCCGACCAACACGGAACTATTCCATTTCCTGCATGAACAAATATCGATCAGGGAATGATTCGTAATCATGTTCCGATTCCCATTACCAACTGGCCGGCTCGCTCTTTTCATCTTGACCACTTCGCCGAGTAGAAGGGACAGGAAACCATCTTGAGGGTTCCATGCCAATCCAACCCCTATAAACATTCTCCTTTTTGAAAACTGACTTTTGATAGGTCATATCATATAATTCACCCTCTCCCTCACCTCACACACTCTCACCCTCTCTCTCTTTATCTCTCTCCTCTTCTCTTCTCTCTCGCCCACCTTTTCTTCCCTCTTTCCTTCTCTCTTCTCTCTTCTCTCTTGTTCTTTTCTCTACCTCTCTCTCTCTCTATCTCTCTCTCTCCTGTTTTCTTCTCTCTCTCTCTCTCTCTCTCTCTCTCTCTCTCTCTCTATCGCACCTTCTCTCTTCTCTCTTGTTTTCTTCTCTCTCTCTCTCTCTCGCACCTTCTCTCTTCTCTCCTCTTCTCTCTCTTCTCTCTCTCTTCTCTCTCTCTCTCTCTCTCTCTCTCTCTCTCTCTCTCCCACCTTCTCTCTTCCCACCTGTTCTCATCTCTCTCCTTCCCTCCCACCCTCCCTCCAACCATAACACGGCTTAAATAAATAATTACTTTTAAGTTAAAAATAAATAAATATTACATTGTTCTTGATAAAATTCAAGACACATTGTGCCATAGACCATCCAATTCAAATATGAATATGAATTCGATAACGATCTTACCGATTGCACACCCACAGATAAGCTAATAACTAGACATAATATTAGATATCGCTGGTGAATAAAGGCAATTATTATTTCGTCTCGCCTTCATAGCAAATAAAAAACTTATAATTTTAATAATGATATATGAGCACAGTTTGTGCTGACCTGATATACTTAGTTATGAAAAATTATAATCCAAGAAAGGATTGCAAAAGTGGTATCTAACTATCACTACATTCCAATAATATAGATGTTTGATAATTAAAAAGAAACATAAAAAATTTTATACAAGTTTTTACAAACAAACACGCTCTTTTTAAATTGCTATAAAAATTTTCAAACAGTGATCATGAGTAAACATAATTATTACAATTAATTAAGGTTTTTAGTCGAGTTAGAAAGATATTAATTGGTCAAGCGGATCAAGAAACTGGTGAATTTAATAATTATTACAGTGGTTAGTAATTCTTATGGATTAATACAAATACATTTTTAAATTAAATGCACAACTTAATATGATAAGAATTCATTTGGTTCTGTATGATTAAGAACTTTATAAAATTTTATTTTTTGGCAATTCCTCTTTCTAACCACCGAAAGTACTGGTATTTTACCATGCATATTTCAACATATTATCTCTCAAAACTGTTTAGATTAAAACTGAAAAAGAATTTTAAATATTTTTAACGTGGTTTGTTTATGGTTACCTTTATTTGGTATTGTTCAATTTTATATGGCGAAATATCTAAAGGCGTCTGACGGAGCAAAACAACTCCCACCCTTCCTAATAATAATTATAGTCTAAGGATAATTATTATAGTCGGAAAAGATCGACTCGACCAAACGAGCATGACTCGCGGTCGTTTTTTGCTTGTTATCTTATTCCAGAACCGATTTGTCTTGATTTACCTTGTGAAGATAAAACTTTTATTCAAAATTTGAAGTTTGACTAATTAAAATCTGCTACGTTTAAGCAGTTCAGTTAAGACTTTACAGAGTTTTCAGTTATATGACAGAAGCGATTAAAATTTCAGCCTAAGCTGAAGATGAAAGTTCATAATTTTATTGCCAAGGTGGATAAACGTCTTGCCGAACGTCGTAAACGGAATCCCGCGAAACGCGATCACGATTTCAACAAACGACCGATCCCTGACGGGACACTTTAAAGGAGATGATGACGGTAAATCCTCAATATTAGAAAGGTCGCAGAGCACAGTGTTTACCCATAACCTATAATTTTCAAAATCGAACTGGCCCGCGATAGATTACATTTAAAACCTGGCTCACGACCCCCTCGTGAGAGAGTACGAATGTAATTTCATAAAATAAGAAATGGGTTTTGATTAAACGTTTTACCCGGTTTGGTAATGCGTGTAATTGAGCTGTGGGGCACGGACCAGAGGGGCATTACCGGCCTACAATTTCCCTCTTACGGATACCAGTAATTGTGATTGGCCGTGATGGGAAATGAAAAGTCCACGACCCTCTCTTGACCTTTCTCAGACTCTCAGCACGGGCCACACTATTTACAGATGTATTTATTATATATGATTCCGCCCGGCAAAATGCCTTCCTTTTATCGATTATCTCTATCTTCTGGGAGAATAAAATTCCTATCCCGTTCGGCGAAGGATTTTTGTCTATTACGCCATATCGAACCATATTAAGCAACTAGGAGGACCAAGCTTTTAAGCTATGAAAACATCGCTTTTACCGTTTTGTTATGACATTTACAATTTATCACAATTAATTGGAACAATAACAAAAACAAAACCAAATTGGAACTATTTTAAGACCAATTATTTATTATGTATGACATGGAGGTCGTCAGATGGGGGTCTGGTGTAACGTAGGTTTTAGAACAACATTTTCTTCGTGCCAACGTTTCGATCTTTATTGAGATCATCTTCTGGGCCTGGGACTTATAAACATTGTTTAAATTTTACAAATTCATGTAGGATGTGGAGAAAAAAAAAGAAATTATGCAATGCTAGAAAATTTTAGAAAAAGAAAAATGAATTTATACAATGCTAGAAAATGTTAGAAAAAGAAAAATGAATTTATACAATGCTTGAAAATTTTAGAAAAAGAAAAATGAATTTATACAATGCTAGAAAATTTTAGAAAAAGAAAAATGAATTTATACAATGCTAGAAAATTTTAGATTCAATCAAAGTGTTTGTACTCACTCAAAATGTTTGTTTTCCGTGTAGATGCGTCGTTCTTGTCTTTCGTGTTGAGCGTGCCAGTGACATATTGATGATTTATGTTTATATAAGTTGAATTTTGAAAGGGTGGGGAGGGAAGTCGGGAATAGAAAGACTTTTTTTATGAGGAGTCGGCTTCTTTGAGGTGAAAGTAGTCGACAATACATTTGTAAAATTTAAACATAGTTTATAAATCCCAGGCCCTGAAGATGATCTCAATAAAGATCGAAACGTTGGCACGATAAAGAAAATGTTTTTCTAAAACCTACGTCACACCAGAACGCACCTCACGATCCCCAATTAATCAATATTTAATATTTCAAAAAGTCTTGAATTAATAATAGACGGATCCTTTATTTTTATATTTAATTTTATGTCATTTTTAATTTTTCATCATCTTCTAAAAGCCCAATTGTTATATTAAAAAAATTCGAATATATACAAGAATTTTATTTTACTTCCATACCATCTTCTAAATTTTTATATATTTTTTATAAGTTGNCCCAGGCCCTGAAGATGATCTCAATAAAGATCGAAACGTTGGCACGATAAAGAAAATGTTTTTCTAAAACCTACGTCACACCAGACCGCATCTCACTACCTCCAAATAATCATCAAGTAACGGTCACTAAAACCACACATATTATTACATGTTTATGCTGATTATTGATGATGAATGTAAAGCTCTGAGGAAGGTATAAGAAATGCCGAAAGCTTGGCAGTAATTGTAATAATTGTCATTCTTGGACCACATCCCAGATCCCAAAACATCACTACCAAATAAGCAAATAAGCATCAGAACCAACAGCACTAAGCAAATAAGCATAACTGGTCGATCATAAAACCTGAGATATATTTTTGTGTCGTGTTTAAAACCTGTTTCAATTCAGACGGAAATCTCCTGTAAGCATTGTTTCTGGGTACATCTCGTTGCAGAACGTTTATGTTTGATTCGTTGCCTCTAATGATACATATAAAATGTA